AAAATCGCTTGCAATAGTTAGTACAATAGTAAGAGAGAAACTTGTCCCCCAAGTTATGTTAATTGGATAATATTGACTAGCAAGCGGTGTTCCGAGTGTCCGAATCTCCTACAACTTTGCCATTTTTTTAACATTCCAAGTATGGGCTGTAAGATAGACACACCTTCACGTGGTGCACCCTGGGCAACGCATACTCATACGGCAAAAAAGTCTATTAATCGGCAGTTGACTTCTGACTTCGAACTACCATCACCCCCACTGTATGTCATATTCGACTACTTCCACAGTACTCACCTCACCTTTTCCTCTACCTTTGTGTCTGTCTCATTTACATCTTCTGTCCCCCCCCCCTTGATTTTTTTTCAATTTGATGTTCCTTCCCCTCTGTGAAGCCTGAAGTCAACTTAAGGGCTAATGATAATTATCGAAATGCCCACCATTTGATATAAATAAATAAACATTTTCGATGCACTCGAGCAAAAATCTTCACTCCTTTTGGATTGAAATATCACTTAACCATGAAAGCACAAACATGATTGTAATATCAAATAATTCCCACATAACTTGAATGAGATAAGAGCTCAAGAGAAATTGATGAAGCCAATAATAAACTAAAACCTATTTGAAGACAAAGAAACAGACCACATTCAACTTATTTCACAAGTCTCTATGACGAAAGCATCGAGTAAATCAAGTAGTTGAAAATGCTAGACATAAATAGAATGACATATCGAAAAATATCCTCCATCACAATATTTATTAAAAGGCAGATTAGAAGTGAATTTCAATTTGAAAATAAGCATTCTATAGCTCCACCCAATGTAATGGCCCCTTTGTTTCTAAAGTTCACTGGAGAATTTTGAGATTTCTGATGAAATTTTAAACAGACATTGGTTATAGAAGTTTGCATTTAATTGATTGAATTAAATAAACCAATTCAAATTCGTCACTCCAGAATAATGTATCGCTTATCTGAAGAGAGGTTTTTGCACTAATATCAAAGATAACAGTCGGTACAGCTAATAAATCCGTTTAAAGACTGGATATATATATATATATATATATATATACGCTATTAATAATATATGCATTCAAATGTGACTGTGCTAAACGAAAACAAAACATCTACGTTTCGAGGGTGTTCAACCTCCTCTTAGGATGAGAAATCAAAACAGACGCAAAAGAGAAACCTGAACTAAATATAAAAATACTACTGCCATGTCTGGAAAAAAAATATCCCAAGTTATTCGTATTTTTTTCATATTAGTGAAATAATACTAGTAAACAAAATGACGAACCTTTTCTGTCTTGCTCTTGGCAGCAAGTGAAGTGACAAGAAGTAGAGCCGAGTCCTTGTTACACCAAACCGATGTGGGGATATTAACATTAGGAGGTGGAATTGCCGAATTATTGCTATTACCCGAGGCCTGAGCAATGCCTTGTGCGTAGGCTGTGAGGAGATGGTTGATATAGCCAGCAAAATTATCAATCACTGGCCCTTCAAAGGCGTCGCACAAGGAGTAGACCAAGTTGCAGGCTGAACGACGACGAGTATGGGCGTCTGAGCCTTCAAGATCTCTACGGATATATTCTTCCGGGGAATCTTCGAACAACTCCTCATCGTTAACTATTATGACAAAACAGAAAGTGGTTAGAAATGGATCGTACATACTCATTTACTTAATAAAAGGACACAAAATAACCCAAAATTTCGTCATGTATAGCACCAGTTAACGCTTTTCGCTATTCCAATTTTATCCACGTAGTTATATGCCTGACTCATCAAAACATCTTTGTGCGTTTAATCAATTTCCTCCATTATAAAACGTCCATATTGAGCGTTAAGTCCATTGTCCTTAAGAATTTAAGTGCCAAATTAGAGGACACAAGGTTGCTACCTTCATTCATATTCCAACACTGACTCTCTCTTATTCGTTTCTTCTGCGATATCTCATTAGCTCCCCATCTTGTATTTAAAAAAAAAACAAGTTCACCGAGTGTAAGTAAAAATCTCGATATAGTGGTTAATTGTAAAGTTACATGAATTTAATCCAAACAATTTCAAAAAATACCAGAAAGAACCAACAATAGTAATTTATTGACAAGTCAAAATTAAGTACAGCTGAAAATATCAAGTCTCAGAGAATCTAAATAATCAATCAATTCCCAATTAACAGAATGAAATGTTTCAAAATATGTTAGTTGACGCCAAGCCTACTCTAAGCAAGTCTTCGAGTTTCACCGAAAATAAATGCCACCAAAATGCTCTAATTGAACTTATTCATCTCAATAGGAAGCCGATGCCTTAGACCATGAAAGCCAATTATACCCGAATACGGACAGTAAAATATGTTTTTTTAAGAACAAAGTGTCAAAAAATTAATCTCCCAACTGTTGACTTAAATATTTTAAAGCTATGAAAAATCAGGGACTATCGTAGAATATTTGGCAATAAAATTTGACCAGAGATAATTTAAAAACGCATGCAGACATAATGGTCACTAACCAGAAAGCTGGATGTTAGGGAGAATAATTAGTTCGCAGAGCTTTTGTAGTGCATCGGGAGCATCGAAAATAACCTTATGCTGAGGCTTAGACACAACCGAACTGAGAAAGTCCAGAGCGTTCCCGATGAGCTAAAAGAGAAGAGGAGGAAGGATAAACAAAATCGGTTCAGAAAGATGATGTGCAATTTAGTACAGCTCATATTATTACCGTATCATATTTGGGATCTTTCGTGTCCTTCATAGAGATTAGCATTTCCCAGATATCTTTGACGAATCCAGGAAGGTAATTGGTGAAATCAGAGGCATATTTGGTGGCATAGAGAGCAATATTATCGCACACCTGGGATTTCACCTGTTCCACCAAGTCGGTCGCACCATCAGCCGACGTTGCATTATTGATTAGATCTGTGGTCTGTTGGTCAAGATGAAGAAGTTGACGGAAAATGTCCATCCACTGGGCCATATTGTCTTCAAAAAACTCGGGTAAATCCTATAAGTGTAGTTATAAAAAAGGAAAATAGAGAAAGTATAATATGGAGAAACTGGAAATAATAGTTTCACTTTCCATCAGATAAAAAGATTTTACAAGCACACAAAGAGATATTAAGTCTGCATGGACGTTGGATTGCTGTTTTATATTATAATTTAGGAAAGTTCACTTAACAAATCACAAGAGAAAAAAAATCTTCCAATATTAGTACTTTGTGCGAACCGATATGCTACAACTTTGTACCCTAAGGAAATACTCGATCGATCACCGTTTCATGTTCAATTGAAAACGACGATCTGTGCCTAGTGACTGGTTAAGTAACTGGGTATATGGTCAAAGCACTTCAATAGAATACAAAACCTGGCAACATAAACAAAGTTCTGCCAGGCAAATACCCAGTTGCAAAGCAACCATTCAAACGAGAAATAAATTCTATGAATATATCATTAAGGCGAATCCCAGAAAAGAAAAAAACAGCTTTGGAGAATTATTTCACTTAAAAGTCAAATAGGTGGTTTATAACACCTAATGATTGACACCCAAACCTATTAGGAAAGTGTACTTCAATAACAGCTAGAAAATTTGCCCCATGAAGCTTCCCAGAAAAGATACCCGAGACCTGCAACCCCTCCATGCCTTTGGTAGTACGGTTTACAAACCTGCTTATTTAGTTAACACTAAAGCGTGCCGAATACACGACCTACGATTTCGCCGGAGAGCGCAACAATAGCTGCACCACAGGCGCACATCATCTCAAACTAAAAGGCCCTCTTAAGCAAATTAACCTTCAGTAGAAATTGTCAACAAGAAATGGCATCTACAACGTTACCTATCGTTTTATTGTGGAAATAGATGAGGCTAGGGGATTGCTATATTTTGAAAAAAAGAGTACCAGATCAAATTCAATCTGTCTATCAACTACTTTAATATTTGCAAATGTGTCGATGAAGTTAATACAGCCAAATGAACTACATAGGCAAATAGTAGCAACGCTTGAAATTCACACAAAAGCGTCGAGTCCCTAAATGACCGACGTTGAATATAACACAAATATATTACTAAAAATGGGCAACTACCAGAGGCAAAATATGTTAATTGATGTGAATAGACGCGCCTCTAACGACTGAACTTATAATACATCGATTTATATGAAATGTTCACCCACAAACAATGAGACATTAATTACAATCTAGGTGTTACCACACACCGAAATAGTGATAAAGCTTCCATTCCTTCACCTATTTAAAATCAATGACAACGTGATAGCAAACGGGAGCAACTAAACATGCTGAAAAGTGCCTGAGAGACCGTTTCAATTTGAAAATACTATAGGTACAAAATGAAAAATAGATTCGTTCTAATAAACTTAATAAAAATATATCAAAAAAACAGTCAAAGAAAGTAATAAATTATGAAATACAAGGGCAATTACGTAAAGTTAGGTGAAAAAGGCATGACAAAGGTTGACTTGGCACGATATTGCAAAATTTTGAACAAGAGGTATAATTGGAATATTTTCAGTTAACAAAAAGAGCAAAGTAGTTTACTCAATTTTGAGACCACAACAATGGGGGATAGATCGAAAACGATAAAGAAACTAACAAAATTATTTTGATCTTTAATTCTTAAATAAATTAAGCAATTTCAAGAGCTCATTAGAGCAGAACATTGTACATACATGAACAAAACAATGAATTAAGGGAATAATAGAAAATAAAGTTACCTGACAGTTAAGACTGAGGAAAATCTTGCAAACAAGAAGTAAAGCTCGGATAACCGGGACCAACTGGTTACCATCAGTTGAACGATTAGGACCAACAATCAGGTTCATGAGATTCTGAAACAAAATCACGATATGAATCAGTTGTAAATAAATAATAAAGACGAGGAAATGCCAAAAAAACTTACAACCGTTAAGGTTGTTAGCGGTTGCCCAAACTGTTCAATTACGAGTTTCATTTCAGTGAAAAGCTCGTCAGATCTCATCTCATGACGATACCTAAGTAAGATATAAGAGAGTATATTAAGATTGAGACAAAATGTCACAACTAAGTAAAAAACCAACCTTTTAAACAAGGAGTGAGCAGTATAGAGAAGACCGTGAACGCTATCGAGTTCGGTCCCGAGTTGAGTAATTCGTTGGATAATATCAGGTAACAAACTAGGCCAACGAGCAGGAAAATCTTCGCGCCCGATCAAACCGATAGCTTCTGAGAGCATATGCTGACTAGATCCAGTGCTAGTTAACATGGCATTAATCAGTTGAGCCTTCAATTGCTCACGGTCAGTATCGGGTATCAAGTTATCAGATTCCGCCTCCTTTAATAAATTGAAATAATAATCCGTATGATCAAACTTACCGTTTTCCAGTAACGTTTAATAAAGTTCTTTAACATTGTTGCTGCAGAAAGACGAATGTTTTTTGATCTATTTGTATCTTGGAGAAGAGCAAGTAGGCAGACTGAATATCCCGGATGGCGTTCTGTAGATGCCAATAGGTTTTCTGCTCGTCTACGTTCCTCTAGTATCGGAGACAAAGTTTTTTCCAATGTTAAGGCTAATTCATTGCAATGTGAAAGTTCCATTTTAAATGTCTAAATTTTAATTCTTAAGAAGCCACACGCAACTATTCTGCACAAATGCACTAACGAAACCAAAAGGTCATTGGTCTATATGTTCAAAATCATTGCGCTCGTAAATCAAATTCCGAGATATTATGATGGATATAATTGTTAAATAAATATTACAAAAAGTCACTTTTGCTAACCAGAGACGTTGTGGTTAACATTTTTGTTATTCTACTATTAGTTGTTTATAAACTATTTATAATTTAAAATCATTGTCATTATGCATAAGTGGAATATGAGTCTTTCAACTGAATACTCCAAGCCACTTTTTCTATTCTTATTACAATTTTAAGAAACCAAAATATTTCGTGTTATTATTATTATTTTCACTATTATTACTATTATTCATTATTTTTAAATTATCCGTTTTCCATACGACAAATACACAAACGAGTGTTTAATTTGGCATTTAGTTGAATTTTAATTGATTTAATGAAGCCTTGCTATTCGAATACACTTGTAACACTTATTCAGCTTTATTTTTTCACGATAAAATAATGGTTATGATTTTATCGCATAAGTAATTTGACAAAAACATTTAATAATCAAGCTAGTTTAACCATGATGGGGGAATGAAGCTTACCTGTTTGATTCCTATTAACGAAGCATTATTGGACTAGGTGGTTCTGTTTTTTAATCCGAACTCGGTATTTAAAATCCCACAATTGGTTTTGTTGGGATATTTACACCTAGGCTCGATTTCATGAATGAAAATCAATATTTTTTAAAGCTAGTTTCGCTGGACAGGTCAACTTTTTAGACCTCAGGCAAGTGTTAAAATCATATTACATCCGGTAAACTTTATTATCTAAAATGCTAGTATAAATATTGCATAAATGCGGAATCGATTGTGATCGGAATAAGCTGACCTGCATAAACTGATTGGGTGTTCTAGACGGATTTTCAATAAATTCGAACAATTCTAAACCTATCAACTAAAACCTTCCTACTCATCTTGAACCAATTCTATTTCTCGCGAATTATTTCAAAGATGTACTTGAACTCGCCATTTGTTAATTCTCTTAGTAATTGTAGTGTTCAATTAGGACAATGTATATTCAAAAGTTAGTGCGCATTGTTTGTTAATAATAAAGAATTAAAATACGTACTTGACATAATAGAATAACTTCATTCGTTTTCTAATTTATATTGACAAACATGAGACCAACACTTTACTATTTTAGTTCTTCAATTCTTATCTATTAACCCGAAAACCCCTTTACTTGTCTTCGATTTTCGAATTTGCATTCTACTTTATTTGATTCAAAGTCGGAAATATATCTATAAATGGCACGTTCTCGGAGGGTACATAACTTCATCTACTTACTCGTGGCCTAATTCCCACTCATGTTTATTTACTTTTCGTGAATAATCTTTTTTTAAAATCGAATTACCACAGTTTTAAACGTGAATTAGAGCCTCCATTGTATTTTAAATATCATAAAATATAAATAACTCATAGACTTGCCTTAAACCAGAAAATATTGATTAATCCTTTTCACAAAAAATATGCTGTTTTTTCACCCCATTTTACTGCTAGACCATTTATTTTAAATATACACTACAGATTTGCTAAGATAGTCTTTACCTTCTAAACAGAGGATTATTACTTTTAAAGTCCATTGGACAGGTTAAATTGGTGTCATGACCTCCCATATGTAACTTTGCTATCGATTAATGTTGCTGGGCCCAAAGAATTTTAAGAGCAGTGATTTGAGAGTGAGGAACTGCTGTTTTCACTTCAGAGGTTAATCAGAAGCGAAATCTCGATTACTGCCACTGCTCTTTCTTGTGAAAGGGTATTACAACTTTAGTGTCTATAACTTCGTTTTGATGCTTCTAGATATGATACCCAGGGTTTGCTTGCAATTTTGCTAGTTCTACTATAACCACGACGTTCGGTGCACTTACCTGGTAGCTCTAAAAAATCTCGACCATAAGTAAACGCTTTTGAATTTTGACAGGGGATTTCCCAAATAAATCTGTTGAACTAACTTTTCGCTCACAAGTTGAGTGTTGTAACCTTTCAATCAATTCAGACATTCTAATTTCTTAGTAAAGGCATCAACTTTATTCTTATATTGTCGAGAGACAGGGACTTTTAAGGAGAATTTCAAGAAAAAGTTGGACTTGATCACAATTAGTCACCGTTAGTAGAACGGTTGAAATTGTGTATATCTTGCTATCTAATAAACCATGGATACTAGTTTAAATACTAAAAGACAAGCGGTTTTAAATTACTAGCTTTTACAAAGGTCCAATCCAAAATGGATTTAAAGATAACAATGGTAATTCACTTCCCAAAATAGACATAAATCCATCGAATTCAATAAAATATCATCATTACTTAAATTCCAATGACTACTAAAAAATGGTTCTAATAAAAGCGCTCGGTTTAGGAATAAGTATCAATAAATGTTAATTCAAATATTTTCTTTATCAAATCACTCATTTTCCTAAAACAGATGTATTTATCTAAAGAAATACTCTTGCTTTCCATCTGACGAAAATTATGATGCAACTCAGACTGGTGATAAACACCAGATTAAATCAACTGGTTTATTGTAATTCGTGTAAGAAAAGGAATTAGCTGGATGTGCTCTAAAGTCCTGTATGTTTTACATTTGATGCTCTCATAAAAGTAGATTTCAAAGATACATTTTAATTTTTAAAACCTTCGATTTTTCTGTTATAGTGTTCAATTGAGATCGAAACATTGGTTCTCTTCATAATCAAGTTAATCGCAATTAATCTCTCGCGTGATAGCAAGATTAGTGTAGCATCAAATCAATTTCGCTGAAACCAAATCCACCCCAACTTCGCTTAACATGTGCCTATGGTAAACTGTGCGCTAAAACTTAAGTGTACTATACAACCTCGTGATTTCGTTTTAACAGCGCATATTATATCTCGTTACTTTCTACCTCATTGTTGAATATATAAAAGGGCATCAAACAAGTTATGCAAGTAAAGTTACGAACAAGATGTCCAAGTTGACCTTCGCACTCTTTGCTCTCGTTGTTGCTATTGTTGGATGTAGTGCTCAACCCATTGAAGATCTTACCACTATGCAACCCAAAAACGAACAAGAAGAAGCCGTCACTGAAGAGATCGAAGGGACAGAGGCTCCTGGAAGTGAAAAAGATGATGAGGAAGACGAAAGCGATGAGGAGAGTGAGTCCAAAGACAAAAATGACAAAGAGGACAAAGATGAGGAAGAAGACAAAGATGTGAAAGAAAGCAACAATGAGGAAGAGGACAAAGATGAAGAAGGAGGCAAAGATATGCAAGAAAACAAAGATGGGGAAGAAGGCAAAGATAAGCAAGAAAACAAAGACGAGGAAGAAGACAAAGATGTTCAAGAAAGCAACTATGAGGAAGAAGACAAAGATAAAGAAGGAGGCAAAGATATGCAAGAAAATAAAGGTGAAGAAGGAGGCAAGGATATGCAAGAAAACAAAGATGAGGGAGAAGGCAAAGATGAGGAACAGATTTAGAGAGAAACCCTTCCCGATTCTACGATGAAGCCTTAGGCCATTATTCTTCTGAAATTCGAGCAGCAACAGCCAATATAATCGAAAGCCCTTAGTTCCCTAGAATACTTTCACACTCTTAATTCTTATTGATAATACTGTTACATTCCCTTTTAACATTCAAACTTCATTCCATTTTGCACAAATTGAAACAGGAATAATAAAGGGAAAATAGTTTGCCACGATAGTTTTTCATGTTCCAACTTTAAGCTTTCAAGATTTCAGAGAGCTGAGTTATGATATATGCTGATGGAATTTATATGCATGTAGATGATGCTTGGTAGCAAAAAAAGGTATTAAAGCTAGCTTTAATTCACTTTGATCAGGTAGAATTTAAAACAAACAAAAAAATTGTGAGGTAAAAATTTTAATTTTACACGGTCTCTTAACGGAAGTCAGGTGACAATGTTATCGTTATGTCATCGCCAAAGTACGTGTGCACATCACCCAGATCACAGGGTGACGAGTCGACAGTGAAGTATGGGCGATATGCACCAAAAAAACCTTTGACATATATGAGAGTGCACATCTATAATAGATCCCATCTCAATAGATCACATCTAGGTACAGGAGTGGGGTTGAGGCGAAAAGAATGCGATCGAGTGAAACCAGATCAAGAATCTATTGTCCCCTATCGAATAAGTTCAAAAATCTCAGGCACTTACGGTACATGACACTTTTATTCAACCGCATATCTTGGGCCAAAGATAACAAGCTAAACTTCTTAAATTTTCAATTTTTTGTACCCAAAAACAAATATCTGAAGTTACGCATGTGCTTTCCACGCCAATTTTTTTCTCCATAATTTTCCTTTTCAAGAGTTTTGTATTAACAGTTGTTTGATCGAACATATATTTCGGCCTAATTTACGATCCAATGCACTCCACCTACACTTACGTCCTATTTTCGAGAAGGCCAGATATGATTGCGTCATATTCAGCAGTCCACGTTAAAGAACATTGAGTTGGTAGAGTTTCGATAGCCTCGATTGCAATCTTGAGTATTTCAAACTAAAAAGTCACTTAACTATATAATAGTAAAGAAAAATTACTTTTGTTCAATAGATAAAACTAGTATTTGACTTTTACATCAACTTTTCTAATGCTTTAAGTTGAGGTTGTAGCGGATTGCTACCTTAGTAAAGCCTGACCGACTCAGAAATCTCTGTGGCAGATTCTCCAACATCTAGCTAGACTCCCAGAACCAGATAAGCTATAGCCCAGCTATGAAAGGAAACAGACGTGTAGCACGGAGCACGTTTATTCAGTACGGGTATTGCGGATCAAGTGTACACGTAGGGGGCCTAATCATGATCAGGATGGGGGATTAGGTTAAACAGAGGTTGATGATTGGTCACTGTTTGTACGGTCGCTACACACAGAGTTGTACGGCCGCACCTCCCAATCCTGGCGAGAAGACATGCAGGCATACGATGACGCACAGAGCGATAACGTGTCCCACAAGGTCATTAATCTCCGTTTACCGCCTTTATTTAGAAATGACAACTTAACACTTAACATTTATGGTTGGGGTGCACAATAGACTTACCTCCACGTGGTGCATCCTGGGCAACGTATATTCATACGGCAAAAAAGTCTATTAATTGGCAGTTGACTTCTCACTTCAAACTATCATCACCTCACTCTATGCTATATTCGACTATTTTCACAGTACTCACCTCACATTTCATCTACCTTTGTGTTTGTCTCTTACATCTTTGAAACACTCTTCTGTTCCCCCCCCCTCTCGACTTTTTTTCAATTTGATATTCCTTCCCCTCTGTGAAGACTGAAGTCGGCTAAAGGGCTAATGATAACCATCAAGACGCCTGCCATTTGATATAAATAAATAAATAAATACATTTATCGTACCTTTAAGCAGTAATAGTTTCTTTAGTGAGATCTCAAATGTTTTATTTTGTGAACAAAATGTCAAAGTTGTATGATAATGCTCTATACCTTTATACTTGGTAAATTTAATTAATGAGGTAATTTAACACAGTATTCCAATGCTTGGTCGATTACCGGTTTAGGTTGATTTGTCATTCGTGTTGGTAAAAAATTGTCTCCAGAATAAGCATAAATAAACATTATTAAATCTCTATCTCACTGTAAAACTTATTCAATCCAAAATAGAATTTATTACCCAAACGATCTCCTAATTTAATGAGCCCAAGAAAATATCCCAAGAATACCTCGTTGTATTTTTATATTCAATTGATATTTCTTTTCTTTCTTATTTTAAAGAATATATATATATATATATATATATATATATATATNTATATATATATATATATATATATATATATATATATTAAAGATCTCCCGTGCCACTGGGGTGACAAATAATATGCTGTTGTAGAGGTTTGTTATACGAACCAACCTTGACTTATCATTAGTATTCTCTAATGCAAATTCCTCAGGTATGGAAAGGCTCCCGAAAAAAAACAAGGTGTGGAACGCGTTTATTTCGGCTGTGTGTAACTGACTCAAAGCTTAGTCATTAAACACAATTTCGGCTTCGTTGACCATGCCGTGCCTATTGATTGTTGATTGGCTGAGTGCGATTAGCATCACGACCTTATGTTAACCATGGGACAAATAGCACGCCGTTCTTTTCAAGATCCTATAACTCGCATGAGATTCTTTGATACAGTCAAGCTAAGGTTGAGTTCCCAGCACTAACCTATCTTAACAACACAGTAGTTCAAATCATCCAGAATGTATCATATGACTTGTCGCTCATCACAATTACGTGTGGTAACTGGAATTTGAAAGAATGTTTTAACCTGCCATTTATTTACTATAAAGAGTATGTTATAGAATTCCCTTCCTTATTAATGACCCTGCTGAAACCTATTCGAAACGAACCTAATTAAGCACAGTCGTTTTAGTAAATTAATCAAATGATAAATTCAGTGGCCTCAGCTTAATGGTAACGATGGGAGCGGAGTCGGTGTGGGTGTTAGATCTTTGCAGGTCCTACAATCAGTAGTTTGACACCAGAGGGCAGTAGAAAGCTCTAACCATGTTCCGGGTGCTATGCTAAACCATTACAATCCTCCAAAAAGTCTACCCATATGCAGATGAATATAACGACAGAATTCTGCAGCGTACACTTTTCTCCCATAAGTAGATGGACTCTGTTCCAAGTGGTGTAGACCAAAACGCGTTAATTGTGTGTGTATGACGGTTTGTACAGCAGGATCAGTGGTTAAATATCTGTACTTAGAAAGAATATTCACCTCTGATTAGCTGATAAGTCTTCTGTACTAAGGCGCAGTTGAACACTACGCGATCATTAGTACGACCACACTTTCCAGATTATATTAGTCAGCTTTGACAGCGTTGTACGCTCTACAAGGTAATAGATTTCTTTCTTAACTTTTTTTCCAACCAAATTCTTAAGAACACACCGAAATTACTTTTTCCTTTTAAAGTCCTCTATTTCTACTATTTCTCATTGAATTAATGCCCTTCTGATCTTTGTTATTTTTCTGTAGATAGGGGTGTATGATAGACTTACCTCCACGTGGTGCATCCCGGGCAACGTATACCCATACGACAAAAAAGTCTATTAACCGGCAGTCGATTTCTGACTTCAAACTACCATGACCCCACTGTATGTCATATTCCACCACTTTCACAGTACTCACCTCACCTTTTTTCTACCTTTGTGTCTGTCTCTTTTACATCTTTGAATCTCTCTATTGTCCCCCCACCTCTGGACTTTGTGTCACTTTGATATTCCTCCTCCTCTCTTAGAAGCCGAAGTCAACTAAAGGGCTGATGATAACTATCAAAACGCCCACTATTTGAAATAAATATAAATAAAAGATATTCAATTAAATTATATCTTCAATTGCGCAGTTGGTAAACAATGTGAAGGTAATATTAATGATAACTTAAAACTGCTTTCCCATTGTTCTATGAAATGTTTTCAAATTCCTTCTAGATATCATCAACATGAGAAAGAACCTATTAGATCTCAAAATTATCATAATTTCCGAATTAAATACTGTCTACGCGGCCAAACGAAGCCTTCTGTTTTTCTCCATCAGGTTCAGCGAAGACCAGCGATTTTGGTGTATTTCAACACCTATGTTAAAACTTAACTCATTAATGATAAACTCAATGGACATAATAACATTTTCACTTTATTTCCTTGCTTGGATTGAAATATTCAAGGAAAAATGTTGAACTTTAATTAAACTATCAAGTGATGACGCGCTATAAATAATTTAAGCCTATTTCCCAAATCTTTGTAACTGGACAAAATTAACGAAAACTTATGAGATCCGAATTACAAAAATTCACGGGACATTAGTTAAAATGTGAAGCAAGTTGTTTAATAAAATAACTCAAGTGCATTTTTTTCAATCTACTTGTTTTAATAATTGGGGTAATAATAATAAATGTTGGATTGCCAAACACCTGTCGTGTCACGGGATTTAACCTTTTTTTTACTGTATTAAGTTCTTAATCTGGCAGACGGAAGGGGCTAAACTTCCAATTCTCACAATTGTTACACATTTCCGTCCGACTCACGCCCCCCCCCCCCCCCCCCCCCCACCCAACTCTGTTCCCACTGCAAGAAATTTGGGAGTTGCTTATTATATCTATTCTAGTTAGTTACAATCATATTTGCGTCTTGGCGGTTTTTTAAGATTGATTAACAGACGTGTAAATCAATGGCTGTTTCTAGGTCACACCAGGTGTTCTGCGCGAGGGACGGAATATAAAATTCAAAAGACTTTCGAGAACATGAGTGGAGGATAATACCATTTTAACCAAATGCTGGCCTTAGTAACCTCATTTTAGATTAACAGTGGCACATGCTTAAATGTCAACAAATTCAGTGAGTAGAAAATGTACACCTCAATATTCTATCTTTTGAGTTTCCAGTAAATATCTATACTTGAGCTAACAGAAGAAAAAAAGTAGGATTATCAGAAGTCCTTT